AGCAGCGGCAGCAGCAGCAGCAGCAGCAGGAAGAGGCGGCGGCGCGGCACGTTTATGCGTCACCGTTTGCTGCAGCTGAGGGCCATTAGAGCAGCAATTGAAGAAGCAGAAGCAATTCATGCAACAGAACGGTACCAGCAGCTGCTGGCAGCAACAGGAGAGGACACAGAAGCAGCAGCAGAGGAGCCAGCAGCAGCAGCAGCGGAGACAGCAGCAGCAGCAGCAGACGGGACGGGAGCAGCAGCAGATGGGACGGGAGCAGCAGCAGCAACAGCCGCGCCAGACGCAAAAGCAGCAGCAGCAGCAGAGACAAAGACAGCAGCAGCAGCAGCAGCAGCAGCAGGAAAGCTGGGGGGGCAGGAGGGAGGCGTTGCTGCTGCTGCAGATTTGCTGGAGCGTCGGCGGCGAGCTGCTGCAGCAACGATTGAGCGCGCAGGCGCCGCGCTGGCCGCAGCAGCAGCAGAGCGGCTGGGGCCTGCAGCAGCAGCAGCAGCAGCAGCAGCAGCAGGCTGCTGCGTGTACCCCGGGCTGCTGGTGAAGGGCCGAGTGCAGCGCGTGCTGCAGCAAGCAGCAATAATAGACATTGGAGTGAGCGTGGACGCTTTGCTGCTGGCAGCAGACGTGTGGCTGCCGCTGGAGCGCTGCAGCAGCAGCAGCAGCAGCAGCAGCAGCAGGAACCTGCGGCTGCTGCTGCAGCAAGGAGACACAATCCACTGCGTTGTCTCCAAAGTCAGCAGCAAATCTCTCCGAGTCTCTTTGCTGCCGCTCCGCCAAGTTGCTGCTTGGGGCACTTTGATGCGCGCAGCAAAAACCCGAGAGACTCTCCCCGCACTCACCCAGCAGCTCATCCCCGGTGAGCTAGCTAGCTAGCTAGCTGGCTAGCTGGCTAGCTGGCTAGCTAGCTAGCTAGCTGGCTAACTGGCTAGCTAGCTACCTAGCTAGCTAGCGGGCTAGCTGGCTGGGTAGCTAGCAGGCTAGCTGGCGGGCTGGCTGGCTAGGTGGCTAGGTGGCTAGATAGCGGGGTAGCTAGCTGGGTAGCTAGCTGGGTAGCTAGCTGCCTAGCTAGCTGCCTAGCTAGCTGCCTAGCTAGCTGCCTGGGCAGCTAGCTAGCTGGGTAGCTAGCTACCTAGGCAGCTAGCTAGCGGGGTGGCTAGCTGGCTGGCTAGCTGGCTAGCTCGCTGGGCAGCTAGCCAGGCGCCTAGCAGTCTAGCCAGCCAGGCATCTTGCTAGCTAACCCTCCAGCTAGCGAGTGGCCTAGCTAAGTAAGAGGCCTATCTAGCTAGCTAGCCACTCAGCCAGCTAGCTACGCAGCCAGCTAGCTAGCTAAAGACAGGAGCACCCAAGTAGCTAGCCAGCGCGATAGGCCTTTATGCTCCCACCTAGCTAGCTAGCCACCTAGCTAGCTAGCTAGTTAGCCACTGCAGCTAGCTAGCTAGCCGTCCAGCGAGCTAGCCAGCTAGCCAGCTACCCCAGCTAGGTAGCTACCCGCCCAGCTAGCTAGCTAGCTAGCTAGCCAGCCACCCCAGCTAGCTATCTAACCAGCCAACCACACCAGCTAGCTAGCTAAACCAACAGCGACCCCAGCTAGCTAGCAAGCTAGCTAGCCAGGAAGCTAGCTAGCTAGGTGGCTAGCTAGCCGGCTAGCTAGCTAGCTAGCTAGCTAGCTAGCCAAAAAGCTGTGGGTGGGTGTTTCTTCAGGGGGCGTTGTGGTGAGGGTGTTGGGCATCCAGGGCTTTCTGCCAGCGTCCCACGTGTGCGACTCCTC